GGTTTCAGATCTGGTGCAAATTATAACAAGTGGTATCAGAGCTTTTGATTTTGAAATTCTTGGAAAGATCGAGATTTTTTGTGATGGCGACTATAACGTATGATGGTCCACTATTGGATTGCAGTACAAGATCTTCATAGTAGCAAATAAGGAGGCGATCATTGCTCACTTATATGAGATTGAGTTTGTTGTGTTTTTTGCATGCTTTATATTTGTTGTTTAAAGACATGATCTTATATAGTCGTGATCTCACAATTGAAGAAATCTATGATACTCCATTTTGAAAGGAGTAGATGAAGCATACTGTTGAAGTTCATGATGATGACCTAGTTCTTGATGGTGCCTGTGCAAGGGGTAAATTAATGTCTAACTTCCAAATTTATTGCAACAATTCGGGGCACTTAATTAAGAATTACTATAACTTACGTAATAGAGAAAATTTGGCTACAACTTTTTAGAAGGGAAAGCAATTATATACTTCAGGTGAAGTCATTGTTAAAAATTTTCACAGTGGTGGAGAGGTTTTACTTATGTCTGACTACAACTCTAAACCTAATGAGACTTGAATTTTGGATACAACTTGCACTTTTCATATGTTGCTCAATTGGGAATAGTTTTTAACATATGAAGAAGTTACAAAAGGTGTTGTGATGACCGGTAACTATACACTTTCTCGGATAGATGGTATTGGTCGGGTCAGAATAAAGAATTTTAATAGGACAATTATAGCACTTGCTGTAGTGAGACACGTTCCAAATCTAATTAGAAATCTTATTTCTTTAAGTACTCTTGATTTAAAAGTGTACATGTACATTGTTGAAGGTTAGTTCCTGAAAGTTATTGAAGGAGCCTGTGTTGTGCTGATGGGGACATGAAAAACCCCATTTATATTTCTTATAGTGTGATACGAAATCTTCGAGTAATCAGCATATTTTAAGAACTCAAGTGGATTTAGAGTTGGCTTATGTAATATTGGAGTCTAATTTGGGGTCTTCTTTTAAGATACATCCCAGCTGAATTTTGAAGATACGTATAAATTTGTCTTGCCATCATTGTAGATGATGTTATTGTATTCAATTGTTAGAAATAGACCCATTTTTTACTACATGATTCCACACAGGTACAATTCTGCGAATTTTGTAGATGGTTTAATTGCGATTAAGGGTGCTGACTCTAGCCAAGATCATTATTTTGATGCATTCAGTTGTGATTCTATTGTAGTGCTTGTTTCAGCCTTGTTTGATGGTCATTAGATGACTTTTGCCCTTAGTTAGGGTAGCAGAGGTGGAGAGCATTCCAGTTGAAATTGTTGATGGAGAAGTTCATTTGTGTTCTCATTGAATTGTTCAAGTATATTCCTTGTAGTGAAATTTATCTCTAGGTGAAAAAATTTTAAGTGTTGTTCATTGTAGTGGAATTTGTATTAATGTGGAAATTGTTAGAATTTGGATGTGACTCGAATTATTTATTGAAGATAATTGAGAGTTTTAATTAAAGTACATATTATGAAGAATTTTATTTGGAATACTTTTGAAATCCTATTCAAAGTCTGTTGGACAAATTCTAGTTGAAATTCTACTTGAAAGTCCTATTGGGAGTTGATATTTGTGTTGGACTTAAAAGATCAAGATAAGTAAATTTTTAAGCATTCTATTTAATCTACAATTCTAGATCTAGGGCTTGAATTGCCCCCTATATATATTTGGCTCTTCTTTACGATTTAGTTGGGTTGTTAAATTTCATTATAAGTTAGATAAATTATAAATACAAAATCATTTTATTCTTTTTTTTTTCCATATTATTGTAAAATCTCTATTCTCTACAAATTATTTTATTCTTGTGTTCTTGTAATCAATTAGTTCATATTGTGACTTAATCTCTTATTTTTCAGAACAAACTAGTATCAAAGCTATTCCACTTTCAATAAAGTGTCTTCAGATCTAGTCAAGATTATAACATCAGTAGGCAAGGCTAATAATCTTCTTCTGTGTGATTCTTGCTTGAGGAATTTCTTCAATTTGCGAGACGTAGAATTTGATTACTGGTTGCATTATCTTCCAGAAATTTTGAAAGAATGAACACAGACAATAGTTTCACCACTCTATGTAAACCTGAGTTATTGGTGTGATATGTATTAGGAATGTTGTATTCTGTTCGTGAATTCCATTTTTCCTGTCAACATTTGGTGCTGATTTGTGATTTGTTATGTGTTCCAATATATAGAATTTTAAAATATGACCCAATTTAAAATCTCTACTTATAATACTACCTATAAATATGCATTCTTTATATATTTTAGACTCTGGTTTGTTGAAATACGAGAGATCGATGACTAAAGTGATATCATAAAATTACATATAAACGAAATGGAAGTCACTATTATCTATCTAGTTCACACATATTCCTTAAATCCTTGAAGTAGACGGGTTTCATCAAGGATATTTAGCATATGTGTGTCTATTCGATGTTATGATTTGTGACACGTACGTGACATTTATAGTGATTTGGGTTAATTAAGAAAATAGAATTCCTTGAAATGTCATTCACACTTTTTGATTAGTGATAATAGAAGTGAAGATGGAAAAATTAGATTACGTTAATTGTTTCTGAATATGATACAGAGTCATCGAATTTCTACATAATACACGCTTATGTTTGTATTGGTGAATGGTTGAATGTGTCTTAAAAAATAACTTCAATAAAATCTGCAAAATTGAAATAGAATTAAAAAGTGATGTGAAAAGAATCCTTGCGGGATGTGAAAACCTTATTTTTGGATTTTCCATTGATGTAATTCTAATTTCTGCCTAAACATGAAGATGACAGAATTTGTCTATTTTGGCGATAATTGTGGGTGAATTAAAGAGGCTTGTTTGGTGGAGAGATATAAACTATCTAAATGCATTATTCAATTGGAGTCAAGTTGTTTTCGATAAATCATTTTTTATTTATATATTGCAGTATTTGTGAAATAAAAATGATGATATGTAATTTTTGAATATTTATTTAAATGTAGTACATGTAATTTCCACTTATAGAAATATGAAATATTGGCCCAAAAAACGTGGCTAATGTAGGGGTTAAATTCAAAATCTTAAAAGTCGGAAAAATTTCATTATACTAATTAAACTATGGTCAATAATTTTATGATTGCGTGCACAACTATTTTTCCAACCTCACTATAGTTTTATCATTTTAGTGATACCATTTATGAGATCGTTGGGGTCAGGAGTATCATTTCCAGAGAAGATCACATGGTTGACATAAAAAAATTAAAAAATAAAAAATAAAAAAATAAATATTACTAAACGTTTCTTATTTATTATGCATATTAAAATAACTAAAAAAAAAAAAAGTCATCTTTTATTACATGGACCGGATTAGGGGGAAAATGTTGTTCCTATCACGATTATTGAGGGGAGTTTGGTCATCAGTTCCTTTCAAGAATACCTTGCACCCCGGATTGCATAATCTTAATTTTAGCTTCTAATTACAGTTGTGGGCTCCATAAACAACCTAACTCTAATATTTTTGTGCTTGTATTTAGTTTATTAATATAATAGTTAACACCAAAAATTATATTAATGACCGTATTGTTACGTTGAACTTCAATACTCACTAGTTGTTACTCGATTGGATTTTATTGAAAATGTTTTAAGAGCCTCTCCAATGTGGTTGTTGCACATGTGACGAGCAAGATAGGGAAGAAGAAAAGAGCATTTTCTGTGGGAATGTGGATAAAATTAATTGTAATAATACATTATAAAAAATTAAATGAAGGATGTCTAGTACACCATCTACCTCCACCTGACGACATAAGCATTTTGTGGTGATGTGACATACTTTTTAATGAAATCCATAGACACATTGGAAAAGCCAAACACGACCTTTGAAAATCAAGTTAAGGAATCTCTGTGGTGATCTCATGAGGATTTAGTGATTTTTTTTCAATAAATAATTGTGTTTTTAATTTCTTTTCGTACAGCTGAAAGTTATGGTAACAAATGTTTATTATTATCAAACACAAACGTATTACATTTGTTGTTTTCTAACACTGGAACTATATAATTATAATACTATTAAGCAATTGCAGTCAGTTGATTTCATCTTTTTGACATTAAGGAAAGTGGACGTTTAGACCATGAATAAAGTCCTAAAAGAGAGGTTGATTGTCCAATTAGTGACATATAATTCTTAATTTCTTAATTTTTTAGTGCAAATGTCTTAATTATCTCATTTAATTGATTTGATGTCTAACATGTGCATCCACATAACTTCAAATAAATGGTAGATATTCATCCAAGAATGAAGATTACGATTTAATGAAATTTCAAGGGAAAAATAAAAGTCAAGTAAATGATATGTGAATAATTCAACTTCAATTGACTTTGTCTACATCGTGACATGAGATGGATAATTGAATTTTTAGTAAGTTTTATGTTAATCTTCAAACTTAATTTTGTTTTAAATCGGTCATTAAATTTAAGCTTTAATTAAAGAATATGAAAACTAGTGGGTGTACTTTCGATATGCTATTTATAGATGAGAAAGATGACTATTTTTTAAGTTTTCAAACTTTATGTTCTCGAGGAGCGAGTTTTGTCTTCTAAGCTAACTGATGAGTGTCTAAGACTATAACTCTTCCCTCAAGGCGTGACCACCTTTTTCTACGTCTGTTTCATTCTACTTGTTTAGCTTTACATCCGATAAAAATATCATTTGTCACTGAATTTAGATGTTTGTCACAATTTCGTTATTTTGTCCATGCTTGTTTAACTAATAGAAAAGGATGAAATGACACTCTAGTTGAAAAATAACTATGTTGTGATGTTAACTTTTCTTGTGATCAAACTAATAGAAATAAACAAATTAATAAAATTGTCACAAATTTTTGGTAAATGATCGATCAATTCGAAACGAAACCGAATTTACTGAACAACAGAATCTTAATCTTATAAACTTTTATGAATATATGTTTAAAATGCACGAAATCCAACAACTTAGGAAACAACTTAACCTATCATTAGAATCATATGTCGGCAAAACTCAAATCTTAATTAAAGTAGCACAAATAATTCAAGTTCTAAATATCATATCAGTTGTAATTCCACATGGAAGACTGCAATCCCACTTCAGATAGATAGCTGATTGAACTTCCATCCCCATAACTTGGGAAGAACTTACTGTCGTCCATTTTGGTAAGATGATAGAGTAGAGCTTTGATCACCGTCTGATCAGCGTTTGATGATGATGAATGCATTCCAAGATTATGATCTGCAGGCAACCCTCCGGGCATGAATTTGTTGGATGATTCTGTGATTTGTGAGAAATTATTTTCGTTTTGGGTCAAAATGGAGAAGCAGGGCACTTGCTCATTATTATTATTATTATTATTATTATTATTATTATTATTATTATTATTATTAAACTCATTTGTTGAGGCCTGATTTTGATTAAAGGTGACACTGGGTTTCATTAATGGAGGAAGAGAAGAAGAAGTTGTAATTTCTTTTTCGCAGCTGCTTCCTGTTTCTTGTTTGGCTTCAACTTCTCTTTTTTTGTAGAACAATCTGCATAAAACCCAATCCTCCTGCATGGAAGTTTAATTCCATACAATCAATTCATATACAATATGAAAAACTCTAGAGAGTATTGAAAAGAGTCGATGAATGGTGAGAATGAATAAGGTGCATGAATTAGTGTACTATTCGTCTCAAAACAAGGTAAGTTCTACATTTATTTAATTGATTATATTTAAATTTTATCATTAATAAACATGTCGTACGAAATACAATTTAATCCACATTATTGAAAATGGTTTTAAGCAACATAATTCATTGCAAAAATAAAAATAATAAAAAAATAAAATAAAATAAAAAATCTTTGAATATAATATGAAGTGATTTGTCTTGATGTAAGAAGATTCTATTTTAGGTTTTAGATCTGGATTGGGTGCTAGCTAAACTCCAGGGAAGGGAAAAGACAAAATAGATTATTTAAGGAAAACAAAATTAAAGAATTTTATAAAAAAAAAATCCCATTAAGAAATTAGATATTCTTAAAATTGTGAAAACAGCCTGTAATATACGTCCAGAGTTTTGACAAGTTGCAGATGCAATAAATATAATTTAATCAACTTGATTGTAATTAGTCAAGCTTAAACTAACTTAACAGTAAGGTAATCATAATTAAGAATTTAATTATAGGGTAGAGAGTATATTAATTACCCGGATAGAAGATAGTCTAGGAGGGCCCAAGAAGCCTTCAAGGCGAAATTCATGCATGACCCAACTAGTTTTTCTTCCTTTAGGAGCCCTACCTTGGTAGAATACCAATGTCTTTCTCATCCCAACTAGGGTTCCCTTTCGAATAATCGGCCTGTCTTTTCCGGTCGCTTTCCAGTAGCCGAATATTGTAGACCGATTTGTTCTTAGTCCGGTTGCATATTTCCGGTCACGTTGGCTGTAAAAATACCACTCCTTGCCTCCTACACATGCTGATTCTGTAACCAATTTATGAAAATCATACAAATGTCGTATTTTTATTAAAAAAAATAATAATTAGGCATGATGAAACGTTCAACATCTTATACAAGTGAAATAAAATACATTCATTTGCTAAGAAAGTTAATTGGAGTATCAAATAACTATAACTAAAATAAGAAAATTGTTATAAAGATACATAATTAAGAAGTAAACGTAAAAATCATATGATAAATAAATAGGAATATGATAGTGGATGGTCGATAAGGACCTATAGGCGACAAACAATACCCATATTGATGGATAATCTTTTGCTCCAATAATTATGTAGAGACAAAGCGTCAAAATATTCATGCACAATAAAGAAAGAATTATTCTCAAACAATAAGGAAAATTTTGAAAATTGATGACGTTGAAACCCATAATATTACACGCGTGTGGTTGATAAAATGTGCAAATGTGCAAATAGAAATTCTACAAAGAGTGTCAAATAAAATCACTCACTGTCACCATCTTTTGGTTAGGATATTACCAAGAGTGTCAATTTCTACAAAAAGGTATTTGAAATATATACACACTACACAATATACAAGTAGAAAATATTATGATCTAGTTTACTAAAACATTAGAAATATAGATGTTAACAGAAAATATAAAGCAACCAACGAAAATCAAAACCAATATTTAGAAGTACCGATCATCAATTTAGATAATAATCAAAATAAATATGACTTATATACGGATAAAAATTGTTTTGTGTGAACGTCAAGAATTTATTTAGAAGGGTGTGATTGTTAAATTTGATGTGATTTTTACTTTTTGTAGACATGACGACAAAGAAAATTAAAGCAAAAGAATTTATACACTTGCAAGGATAAAAGTTAACTAGCTGTAGTAACAAATTAAAGATTAATTTAGAATATATAAAATGAACGGAGGAGGGTATTGAAAATGAAGTTCACTCAGCCGAATGAAAATGAATTGCACTCACCATGATAATTACTTTCCCCTCAGGCAACCAAAACTTTATTAATTAGAATATTCTTCTTTTGTCTTAAATTAAAATGACTTATTTTAGAATAATAACAACATTACATAAATTTCTGTCCACTGAATTTCTATCAAAACCAATCACTATCTACTGCCAAAGATATTAAGATCTACATCATGAAAAATAATTAATGCATAGAATATATATTACAGTAAGCACCAAGAATAATAATATAGAATGTATATAATCTATATATACATATACTTCAAAAAATAAAATAAAAATATGAAGCAAATTATAAGAAAATATGAGGGCTCACCGGGAACGTCCCAAGGCTCGCACTTATTTAGGTCAACTTCAATTAACAGAGGGGTTTGGTGGCCGCAGCCGGTTACCCATTTCATCAAGTAATCACATATCAGTTCTTCATCTTTTGGCTGAAACCTAAACCCCGGCGGCAGCTTTGACTCAATCATGCTCAAACTACTCATTTTCCGGCACGGTGGTGGTGGTGGTGGTGGTGGTGGTAGAGAGAGAGAGAGAGAGAGAGAGAGAGAATATGACTTTCAAATGCAAGGACAAATGACAGAGCGTATGGAGGTCAATATATACAATTAAGAAATCAATCGGATAATGGAAGGGAAAGTTATGATGAAAATACTGACGACTGCTCACTGTTGCTCGATTCTCGCTGGCATTTCGCTCGAGCGAAAAAAATAGAACACCTCTCGCTCGATTGGTGCCAGCTCTCACTCGAGCGACATTCCTATGCGGCAAAACCCCTAGTCCACGTCTTTGAATGGTTTTATTTGGCCCACACCACCTAGACACCTTCAAATATAAATACCAAAGCCCTTGCACGAATTTTGGGAGGTTGCTACATTGTTCTTTCATTGTCAAACATATTCATAACATCTTTGAAGAGATCCAAGGTAAAATTAATTGGTGATTCCATCTACATCAATCTTGTGATCCAACAACCATTGTTTTGGGAAAAAACATCGAATTTACATAACCCAAAACACCATTCTTCGTCAATCTTTTAAGGAAGGGACTCTCTCATTGGGGATTGAGAGAGGTTGATGTCAAGCGCAGTGAATCGGACAAGAACAAATGATTTTTGGAATTCCACTTGGTGATACAATCAGTTAAGGACCAAGGGGCTGTAGTGGACAGTAGATTGAGTTGTAAGAGGTAGATTAGGAAGTCCAGTAGGAGGCTAGGGGTATCTGTGGCAGTAGATCGTGAGACTGGAATAGCGGGTCTGATTGGGTACGAAGTTTGCTAACTTGTACTTACTGAATTGGTATAGTGGACATGACTGGCTTGGTCCCGGAGTTTTACCAACATTGGGGTTTCTCCGTCATCATATTGTGAGTTGTTGTGTTTATTGTTTACTTTACTTTATTCAAATCGGTAGTTCAACCTTAGGAATTAATTGGATTGTATGTTTAACCGTTTAGACATTAATTAAAGTGACTTATTGCTTTGATTAATTAATTCCGTACGTAAGGTCAAACAAATTGTTAACGTGGAACGTCAACTTAGTAACGTAAAAATTTGAATTTAACACTGTATCGCGTTAACCAAACTATCTAGCGTATCTATGCGTTCTAGGTCAAATTTTCAAGTGGTGTCAGAGTCTAAAATCGTGTCCTGACCTTACATAGTCTAGATGAGTACCTCGTTGAATGTGTTGCCCCACTTTGAAGGTAGTATGCATATTGGAAGGTTAGAATGAGGGCATTTTTGAAATCTATGGATGAGCGCATCTGGCAGAGCGTAGTGAATGGTTGGTCTACCCCTAGTTCCGCAGTAGATGGTGTAGTCACTCCCACCCTCGTAGAAAACTGGTCTAGAATACAATTGGATAACTATAACTCTAATAGCAAAGCCATACATGCATTGTTTATGGCCGTGTCCCCCGAGGAATTTAGGAAAAGATCTATGTGTGAGGTAGCTAACGATGTTTGGGATATTTTGCAAACCACACATGAAGGAACCCAAACCGTTAAAAATTCTAAGTTACAGAAGCTGACCAGTAGGTTTAAGGAAATCAGGATAAGAGATTATGAGAAATTTAATGCCTTTTATGGGAGCTTAAATGACATAGTGAATTCTTCCTTCAACCTAGGTGAGAAAACTCCCGATCCCAAGATAGTTAGAAAAATTCTTAGATCCTTACCTGAGCGTTTCAAGTTGAAAGTCACAACTATTGAGGAAAGCAAAGATATAGACACTATCAAGGTAGACAAGTTAGTCGGATCCCTCTAGACCTAACACAATCCTATTAAGGAAAAATTCATAGCCTTGAAATTCGCTAGGAATAACCGAATGGAATTTTCTGATTCAGATTCATCCAATGATGAGGTCGATCCCAAGATAGTTAGAAAAATTCTTAGATCCTTACCTGAGCGTTTCAAGTTGAAAGTCACAACTATTGAGGAAAGCAAAGATATAGACACTATCAAGGTAGACAAGTTAGTCGGATCCCTCTAGACCTAACACAATCCTATTAAGGAAAAATTCATAGCCTTGAAATTCGCTAGGAATAACCGAATGGAATTTTCTGATTCAGATTCATCCAATGATGAGGAGATGGTCTACCAAGCTAAGAAATTTCAGAAAATATTTAGGAATAAGAAGAAGCCTTAAGAGAGACAAAAGGGTGGCCCGAGTGAATCTAGGAGAAAATCTAAATCTGTGAGATGCCATAACTGTCGGGGTTTCGATCAAATGAGAAGTGAGTGCCTGAGTGCTAGGAGAGTTGAAGAGATAATGAATACTACTCTCATTGATGACGAGTCTAGCTCGGACAATCAGAGTAAGAAATCCACACGTGAGGAGAGTGAAAATTATGTGGCCTTCATTGCTAGGGTTAACAGTGGATCCGAATAGGGGAGTGAAAGGGATGAGGACTTAGATAGTAGCGAAGAATCTAGTGATGAGAATGGAAATGAGGAAGATCTAGAAGAAGTTTATGAGAACATATATGAAGAAAGCCTTAAGATCATAGCTACTAATCAGGTGCTAAGCAAGAAAGTGAATGAACTTAGGTTAGAGAAGGAACAGTTATAGGCCCAAGTCAGTGATCTTACCAGCAAGAATGAGATGTCCTCTAGGAGGGTAAATAAGCTGATCGTTGAGAATGTGACCTTACCTATTCAGGTTAAGCACCTTGAGAGTAAGCTAGAGTTGTCTAGGTCTCAGATACTTGCCTTTTCTAGTAGTTCTGAAAAGCTACAAAATATTTTAGGAATAAGCAAACCGGCTAGTGATAAAGGAGGTCTAGGTTTTGATAGCAATGCTGCTAGTACTTCACAGACCACTTTCGTTTGTGCTACTGACCAGCCTAACATTGTGACTAATCTTATATCTAATGTTGTGGGATTTTCAAGATGTAGGTCTACTAGACGTCGTAGGACCCGTTGACCTAGGAATAGAAATCAACGTCCACATGACATAGGTCCTAGGTTTATCCCGACATGCTTTCAGTGTGAAGAGTTAGGTCACAACCACCCTAAATATCATCACTACCTGAGCAATAAGAAAGGCTTGAACTTGAAAAAGTTTAAAAATCAGGTGTATATTGGTCAGATTGGATTCCATGCTGATCAACTAAATCGTTTGACCTAATTGGCGACACAACTATCGGGAAACAATCCCCGTTCTAGACAGGTTTGAGTGAAGAAGAGTGATCTCCCAAATTTGGTAATAGATCGTCATGCTCTTAAAGGAAAGAACACTTATATACCTACTTGATTAGGTTTTTTATATGCATGCCTGCTCTTAATTGTCATATGATTGTTGCATGCATCACGTGTATTTTGGTTGTTTTATTTTTATTTTAATTTAACTTAATTTAATTTTTTTGCATGTACATTTTCATTTGTTTGTTTTGGCGCATGCATATTAATTTTATCTTTGTGTGCTTGACTTTATTTTCTTTTTTATGTGGAGCATTCATTTCAATAAAAATGAAAAACACAAAAAAAAAAAATTGAAAAATAATTGGTTATGGAAATTGTTAGAGTGTAACACATATTTCTTGAACTAATTGGTTGTGATCATGTATGAGTTAAAATTGATAAGCTTTAAAATAATTTCCATTGCTTGTTTAGGTCTTTTTAGATTACTTAGTTTATGTGTCATCATGTACCATCTGCACTAAACACATTATGAATTTGTTAGTTGGACTTTACCGCGTGTGTAAGATTTAGGATAGCTGTCATATGTTGATAGGGTGACTTTGAATATGAATTGACCAATATTTAGTAGACATAAACCCGAAAATTATCTCCCATATTAAAGCTCAATATCTGAATATTTTTTTTCGGGGCTTATTTGATTCGAGCAATTAAGCCTGTGGGGTCTTTTAAAACCTGGTGCCTATGATCAACTGACTAGGGTTAACTGGTCTAAAGCTCGCTACGAGGGTCATCTTAGCCGCCTAATGAAGAAGAACCTGCACTTAGGATGAAAAATTAATGAATTGGAAAAATAAGAAAAATATGAAGAGCTGTAATATTATGAAAATCTGAAAAATATTAAAAAAGCTCATAGTAAGGGGGAGATAAATAAAAATAATAAGTATTGGTCCTACCACACATTACATGGTTTGACTTTAATTAGTAAGAGAATATACTTACTAGCAGTGATCGGCGTGTCCTTTCTCACAAAATTAAGGTTTGGAGTCCTGTTTGTATTGGAATAGTGACACTTTACACACACGAGTCACTTGTACTTTTTACTCCATTTTGGTCTAAACTGAGTATGTGTAGAATTAATTAATCAAAGCAACAATCACTTTAATTAATGTCTAGATAGTTAAACATACAATCCAATTAAATTTTAAGGTTGAACTACCGATTTGCATAATGTAAAGTAAACAATAAATACAAACAAGTCACAATATGCCTCACTGATATTGTTTTTGATATGTTTTAGAAGGCATCAATTGTAGAGATGGCAAATGGGCCGAGCGGCTCGTCGGCTCGCACAAAAAACGAGCCGAGCCCGCGAGCGGATCGTTTGGAAACTAGCCACGAGCCTGGCTCGTTTTAAAATGTGATTGAAACGGTCACATTTTTTGAAATGTGACTGTTTCGATCACTTTTTGAACGGTCGCTGACTTTTTGTCAGTGACCGTTTCAGTCCCTCATTAATATATTTTTTTTATATGTTTTTTGACTGTTAACGGTCACTGAATTTTTTCAGTGACCATTTTGGTCCTTAAAATTTTATTTTTTTCCTTTTCTTCTATAAATAGTGGCATTTAGCCAAATTTTTTTTTACAATTTTCTCAACTCTCAATTATCTTTCTCTCAAGTTTCTTGTATTGTGTTGATAACTTGCAATTTTTATATACAATTTATACAACATTCAATTCTCATTTCTCAGTTCTCACTATATTTATTGAAATTTCATCCAATTTTCATTTCTCACTACATTTATACAGTTATTCTTCTACCAGTTATTACTTCTTACAACTAAACAAATGGATCCACGCTCATTTGTTGAAAACTTGTGCAGTGTGGGAGGAAACGAATCGCCTATGACACCGTAAAGTCAATTTCAGA